TTTGAGACTGTTTTTGTTTTGAGATGGGATCCCATTCAGTAGACCTAGCTAGCTTTGCACTCAGCACTCCTGCTTCAGCCTCTTAAGTGCTGAGATTACAAGTGTGAGCTACCACACCTGTTGTGTTGTCATTCTTTATGACATTCTTGTAAGTAAAACATTGCCACATCAATTTCAGAACTTTAGACTTTAGTTCTTCATGCCTTTTCTGTTCCTATTTCTCTTACAAGCAATGTTTTTTCTCTCTCTCTGTTTCTATCTTACTATTTATCTCTGGCATTCCAGTTAAGTTGTTTGTGTCAATCTGTGTTGATCTGTACCTTTCCCAAGTTATAAAGGTTGCTGCTGTGAGTAGCCTTCTATATGCTGTCCAGTCTACTTTTTGCTACTTCTTTTAGTCTCTAACAAGTGTTTTGTTTCTTGACAGGTACTCTGGTCTGATTAAGTGCTTGTGCGTGCTCTCTCTCTCTCTCTCTCTCTCTCTCTCTCTCTCTCTCTCTCTCTCTCTCTCTCTCTCTCTCTCCATTGGAGTTCTTTCTTTCAAGGAGCTGAGGGTCTCCTTGATACAGGGTATTAAACTTGAATGTAAATGTTGTGCTGTTTAACCCATGCCTTATAAGAACAGGATCTTACTCAGCTTAGGAGGTACAGAATGGGAAGAAATAATGGACTTGGTTTTGTGTAGGGGGAGATGTTTGAGTGGAGAGGCCATTTCAGATAAGGAAATTTCTATTTCTTATTGAATTAGTTATTCAGGTAATTTGTACCTGCATGTTATTAGGTAGCATCAGAGATACTAGTTTATGGTCACTGTTTTCAGTATATATGGGGTGGGGGGGTGGAAGTGGAAAGCTTAGGTGTATGATGCATTTATGTGAAGTTTGTTAAATGCCAAATTAGGTTAGAGCAGCTCTAGGAAATTTAGAGAAGAATTAGTAAAACAACAATAAAAGCTAAAACTTTTGAAAATGTGTTTACTTGCAGTGTCAGGAGAGAGACATCAAAAGTGTATGGCTGTAATGACATGAGAAGAATGTTGCTATTTCTCTTTGACTGTGTGCAATGGACTTGAGGTGGTTAGCATGGAGGGGTGATGAGAAGTCAGTCCAGGAGGCTCTTAGAATGGGGTGAGGTCAAGTGGCCTGGCATTTCTTAACCATATCTCTAGAACCAGACTTCTCAGTGCTTTCTATGCTGTTTTAAAACTTATCTCTTCTACTAGTGGACTTCTGCCATCACTGTTCCACTAACAAGTTTCTAAAGCTACTAGAGATCTAGCCAAATTCAATGGTCAGATTTTACATTTTTGCTTAATGGAGAATCACTGCAGCTTCTGGCTTAAGTGTCTGTCACAACGGAGGCACTTTCTGCCTTACCATCAAGAGTATGTAAACTTTAATACATTATAAACAACCCCTCCCTGCTTTTTCAGACTTTATATTTAAGGAATTTATTGGAGTACTTAGTGTTTGCTGTAGCACAAGAGCTAATTAGAAAGGCAACATGCCATGATTCCTGCACAGTTTGTCCTCCTTTCCAGGCTGTTTAGATCTCCACTTTCTTTAAGACAGATGAAGTTCTTCCTTCCTGCCTTGAGGGCTACAGTCTGTGTTTCCTGTGTGAACCTTTACAGTACTTAAAGCTAGCATTACTCCTTCATTGAATTTTTTTCATGCCTGATCTTGATTAAACTGTCAGTTCCCAGAGGGCAAGAAATTGATAATGGTTCTCTGTATTTATTACTCAAGCATAGTCTCATACACATGTACAATTATGAATTCTTGTTAAATGTATTGCCACACATTTTAAATACCTCCTTTATGCCGACATATCCCGAGTGTTAAGTTCTTACACTGGTGCCAGTTACATTTCAGTTTAAACATGCTGTACATGCTATTATATTAACGTGGGGAATGTGTGTAACAGCTGCTGTCTTAAAATTTGAACAAGGAAAGCTGTGCACAGAGAGAGAGAGACTGGAGACAACTAGAGCATCAGCATGTAGGGGAATGATAGCTGATGCTTCTTTGGTGACTGAACAGTAATAATAGCTCTCATTTTTTACGATCATTATCATCAGCTAACCTTTAAAAAAACTTTTTGCCTGACATTGTTCTAAGAGCTTTAGATATGTCACATAGGTACAGCTGAAATTCTCATTTTACAGTGAAGAAGCTTTAGAAAGTCTATTGACTTGGGCATGAAGAGAGCTGGGCTCTGGTTTTAGTTCTAATAATTGCCTGCGTGAAAACAACTCTAAAGTCAGTGGGCTCTTAGTTTTTCATCTTTAAATTGAATGTCAGCATCTATAAGCTCCAGGTATCCATATCCCCCCCACCCCCAATTTGGTATGGTATAGTCTTGAAATTAGAACATGTCCTTATTTCAGTCCTTATAAGGTACTCATGCTGGCATTTTGATTGCTACAATGCGGTGTGATAATGTGAGTTTATTTCTTTGTTGTAAGAGCCTTGAAGGTACCATTTAGGGAATATAAGTTTGGTTTTCAGAAAAGGAGGGGAGAATTTGAGAAGGGCTCAGAGCATTAGGAAAATAAGATGAGAATAGGGCTGTAGGTCTCTGTCTCTCTCTCTCTCTCCTCCCTGCCTTTCCCTTCCTCCTTCTCCTTCTTTCTCTTCTCCAACTCTCCTCCCCTCTTTCCTTTTCTTCCTCTATCATTTCTCTCTACCCCTCCATCTCCTCCTCTACCCTCCAAACTAAAAGTGTATTAATACCTTGTCTTCCAAAGATACTCCTAGATTAATAGTATTAACACTTCCTGAGTATTTCCTCTGTGTATGCATGTGTGCCTTATTAGATATTATTTTAAACGTAGTACTTTTTATTGTTTCTTTGTATACAATGAGGAAGCTGGAGGTTCAGACAGTGGACATTTTCACAGACTCACAGATGGAAACTGTTGGCGTCAGTACTGAATTCTCATCACAAACCTGTCTTGTCTCTCAGAAATTGACTCTGCCCAATACTCTAGCTTGTTTTTTGCTAGGAGCTAGCTACTTGGGATGAAGGGCCTATATGGGGTGTCCCTGCCACAAGATCCTCCTCCCGCTTGGCCTTTTTTCTTTGTTTCTGTAGTGTTGGGGAACAAATCTAGGACCTTGGATATGCTAGAGCGTTCTACCACTGAGCTGCACTTCCAGCTCTACTTTTTTTTGACTGTAGTGCTGCTTTGTATTTTGGTATCACTTAGAAGTCACCTTAATCTTCTGGTCTTGCTCATGGGATAGAATGTATGCTCTGCTTGAACACTTAACAATTGCAGTGTGAAGTGTCAGTATCCTTTCTCTGTCCTCATCTCCCATCCCTACAACAGCTTTATTTTTTTTCTTCTTCTAGAACATGTGTTAACCTAGTGGAACTTCTTTCTTCAAGTGTAATGCTATGAATTTTTTAGCAGTGGAGAAAAATACATTAGAAGTTCCAGCTTGCAGGGCATGTACCAAAGTCTGGGCTTGTGGTGTGCTTTTTGACCATTCTAGGTCTTTAATGTTTGTAAACTGGTTTCTTGACTTTGTTTTTTACTAACTGCCTGGTACTGCCTGTCCTCCTTTCCCTCCACAGTGTCCTTGACTGTACCTCTTCAGTCAGCACTCCAGCCAGCTTGTCTTCTTGCTATTCTTGTCTGCCCCGCTTTCCTCTTTCTACCTCCCCCCTGTTCAACTTTACCTTCTTGCCCTAATGCAGATTCCTGAATTAGTTTCCTCAGTTCTCTGACTTCTTGCCTTCACCTTATTTTTGGTACACCTTTGTATAACTTCTAAAATTTGTGTCAAAGAAATTGAGATAGACGTTTACAATTTGAATTTTAAGGATTTGTGGTGTGTTGGTGAGTAAGGACTTGGGCTGCTGATAAGTTTTCATATCCAGATTTTGCTGCCTCTCCCCTCCCTCC